TGTTCCTTAGGCTCCCTTGCACTGTCTTCTCTGCAGAAACAAGTATTCTGCACCAAATATTGCTCAGAGGGAAGATGCCATCCACCGCTGCTCCAAAACCCAGTCTGCAGCTGCCCATAGAAGCCTGGTGACCTTCAGGCTGATGGAGTTGAGGCACTGACTTCCCTCTCTCCATCAGAAGGTTGCTTTGTCCCCAAGGAAGACACCGATCAGCCCAGAGTTTGCTTCCAGATGCCTCTCCTGGCCCTTCTGTGATGGGCACAGTCACAGGGGCAGAGTTCTTGTCATGGAAGTGTGGAATCACTTAGGTTGGAGAAGACCCTTAAGACCATCATGTCCATCATCCCATGTCACAGGGTGAGAGCTGACCTGAGCATGTTGGAAGCTCACACTGTTACCAAAGGAGGATGGGATGAGAGGAATCACCTCTGTACTGATGGCAGAGGAAATCTGGGCAAGGAGCTGCTACAACTGGGGTGGAAGGAGCCTGCCTGCCTCAGCTTCCCATCTGAAAAATAGGTACAACACTCCTCTCCCTTTTGATCTCTTGCTTTGAATCATCCATGTTGCACAACATGAATTACGTCTGCACTACACACAGACCAAACGAGAGGGAGGAACTGATGACAAATTCTGAAATGTTAGCAAAGAGCGAAGCACTGGGTATGTTGTTGTTTGTTTGTTTCTTTAGAAAACAAAACCCAATCCAGTATATCCTCATTTGGTTAACGAGAAGAGTAAGTACGCCCAGAAGTGCAACATTCCCTGTTTCAAAGAGCTTAAACTCCAGCGTGCAGGACATACACTGACAAAGGCAGAGGGGAGAGCACTGAGGTGGGAACTATTCACACGGGTACAGCTCCTGTGTGAAGGAGAGGCCACAGGGGTGATGGTGCTTGGGCTGAAAGCTGCACTTGGCTGCCTACATATTACAATAGACACCACTGCATTTTTGGCCAGTGGGAAAGGGACCTTCAGCTGTTTGTGTACTGGCATGGTGGAGGAACGTGCTCTCTGCTCCCATCTGGAAAAGACCCAAGGGAGGGAGCAGAGGGGTGGACAGATGGACGGACAGACATACACAAGGTTACCACCACACACACAGTGAATGACAGAAAATACAGCCCCGAGACAAAGCAAATGAACCTTGTGGTTTCTGAGGGTGGCTTTGCTGCACAGCCTTCTCTCCGCCAGCTTATCTTACACAAACACTGGTCCGAGTCCAGTTTTCTAAGGAATCATTAGCCAAATATCACCTTTCTGCTCTAAAATGGCATTGCTGGGAAAAGGATACTGACACATAAGCCCTCCTGCAACCACTGCCAGTTGTAAACCCACCTATCCTCAGTCTGATGTACTCCTTGGCAGGTTGCAGATGACCTCCAGCACTTAGCACTGGGGTCGATTCTCCTGGGCATGTAGTTGCAAAGGCCCCAGCTGCACCCAAGTGGTAATAGCATCAGAGCTGGTCCAGGAGGCTGGCTTAGGACAGGTGGCAATGAGACTGCTATTTTTATCTCCACTCCACAGCTCTGTATGTTTAAATTTAAATCACTGTAGCTATACTGTCATATAGTGTAAGACCATGGTGATGTTTTCACCAAAGACCCTGAATACAAGCAAAAATCACAGTGGCTTCAGCAGAAGGAGTTGTGTGGGTTTGTGAATTGCCTCTGAAGCTGGTAGTTTGCCTCTGGCAGCTTGCAACAGGCTTTGGTGGTGCTGGACCTGCACTGTGAATGGGACATGTGTGGGAGAGGATCATGTGCTAGAGAAGGGGCTGGGGTCTGCCTTCTCTACACCCTGCTCTCTCCTTTCCACTGCATTCACGCCTGGGGGTGGGCAGGCCAGGGAAGCACATTTCCCACCTGCAGGATGAGGGCCGCTGAGCAAGCTGGGGAAAGCCGAAGGAATTTGACAATTTGACCATTTGACTGACTTGCAAACTTGACACCTTTTCCATGCAGAAGTAAATTGAAGTATCGCTGAGGTGGACGATTGCTGAGCTTTCTATTTTGGTTCAATTTCTCCCCCTCCCCCTTTTACTAGTTTTCCTTCAACTCCGCTTTCCAATGTCACTGAGTTATTATTATCCAGATCCAAATCTCACAGTTTCTCTGAAGGAGAATGTGTATTAAAATACCAGATTTACCAGAAAACATCTGCAACTTGCAAGCCTATTGTATTACTATTATATGAGCAAGCCATTGTAAATTCTTTTAAGTCTGTAACTTATTTCACGTTTTAACACACTGTGTGCTTTACAACACCATTTCAAAGTTTATGGCCCTTTTTCTTTAGCCGCTTGTTCCAATTGCATCTTATATTTCATCAAATATGGTAAAGAAACCATGAGAATAAATTGATGCTCCATATGAACACCCCTATAAATGGATGTTGCCAAATTGCTGTAAAATGGTTTTCCTTTTTAGCCCTCCAGAATTGTTAGTGGGTTTCTGAGGCCAAAGTCTACAGGGAAACGTTATGACCATTTAAGGCCTCCAAACTTTATGCTTCAGTACAAAAGGCCTAAGGGCGAGGATTTAAAATGGATGAAGTGGAGAAATTTGCACTTCCTTAAGAAAACACAGAGCATTTCCTTCCGCATGTCAGAAATGAAAACAGAAAATACAAACTAATTTGTCACGAATTTTTCCTTCTCTAACTGCCTCTCCAGGCCTTCCCTTTCCCCCTCCTAACACTACACACCTTATTTTTGCGGGTCCCAACCCTAGTACTGGTGATGGGCGATGCTCTGTGCTCCATACTGTGTAGAAGGGCACTGCTGTAACGTTTCCTCGAGTTCACAGCTTACTTCTGCCACCCTTTTCCCCTGCCCAGGCTCACTCTTGCAGACAATCCTTCAGGAGATAAGCACCGCTTGGGGACACTGGCTCAGTGCTGGATGATAGTTCGCTATTTGGCTTTAATTGGGCACTGGTGTAAAACAAACAAACAAAAAAATCACTTGTCATATTTATGAGTTACTGTGAGTTAATAATATGCTGGGATCCATTATTTAAAGCGCATTTGCTCCAAACATGTGGCCTCAGTTTTTTTTTTTGTTTTTATTCAAGCAACATTTTTGCAGATGAAATGCTGTTGCCGTTTTTCTCCCAGGCACTCAGTAAGCCTCAGGGAGTTATAGCATCAATTATTTTCCTTCTCATATGCAGAACAAAAAAAAAAAAAAAAAAAAAAAAAAAAAAAAAAAAAGTGTCCTAGCCAAAGAAGTTGGAGTTATTATCCAAAATAAAAATAATGAAAAAGAAAAACATCCAAAAATAAAAAGCTGCAGCCAGCTGAATAAATGTAGTCAAAATTGAAAACACAAAAGTCTGCAGAAGATTGTCTTGCAAATAAGACTGGCTCTGCTCTCCCTGTATTTTTAGTTATCTCCTGTCCTGCCTGAGCCAATTCCTTTTCTGTTAAAGTCTGTCTACTTGAGTCAGTTTTCTTTGACTCTGTTTTGAATGATAAATTCATTAGTGCCTTGCAGGTGGATTTGCCTGAACTTAGAGACTCCAGTGAAGACTGAAAAAGACAAGCAAATCTAGCACATGAACAAAAACTTATTTTCAGACCCTTGCTTCTGAAACGGAGCTGCATTTATGTGTAATAAAAATCAAGATGTTCATCTTTCTTCTTCTCCCCCACAGCAATATTTTTTCAGAGCTGAAGATGTCAAGAGCAGAATTTACCCCTCCCTTGATGCCATCTTTTTTTCCCCCTTCTTTTTCATCACAGCTGCATGGACTCTGGCCAACTCAAACTGTACCTTCGCACTTCACTGCTTAGGACTTTGCTGCACATTCAATTTGACAAGACTTTTATACAGATAACTGATCAGACAGGCTGAAACTTCAAACTCAATGTCTGCAAGGACTCCAGTACTTTGCACCTCACTACTTTACCCTTACTTAGGCACTGCAAATGTTATAAAAAACCCCTCGCTCTGATAGCCTGAAAATTAATTTGCACTGTTAAGCCTAGAGGAACAGAGCAAGCTCCACTTGCTCATTGGTTCAGAACATGTTTTGCCCAACACTCCTAGGAAACGTCTCTGGAACATTTTCCATATTGTTGCTGCTTTGCTGGTAATAAGTTGTCTTCTATTTTATAAGCTTGAATTAAACAAAAAGCTCCTCCACTGCTGACTCAGCCTCCAAAGCTGCACTTTATATATGTCAAACAACATATATAAATTTATAAGGTGAACAATGGTTGTATTTAAGTACTGATTTAGTAATCATGAACTTCGCTGGCAGTATCCTTTGGAAACTAAATCCATAAATTTTATTAGTATTAAATGTTTCTAATGGGAGTTGACAAATACTTGAACTGAGTTGCTTTTTCTCTACACTTGGCAAAAGGAAAGGGGAAAAAATTCCTATTACACAATGAGAAATGCATTAATACTAAAACCCATTCATCTCAATTTTGTACAAATATAATTTAAGACCTTTTACAACCATTGGTGAAATTACAATGTGCTGTGGGGAAGTTGCAAAAATTTTATGAGAGTAATAAAATTGTCATTGTAATACCATTATAGGGTGCAGGGACAATATAGATATTTGAATTACCTATTGTCCTTATGCCAGGTTGAAAGGGCTACATGCAGGAATTATAGCATGTAATGGAGACAACTGTTGAAACAAACCAGAGAAATGAAATCCAGGTCCACTTTAGCTGGCCTAAGACAAATCCTCATTAGAAACCCGGACTCAGAATACCCTTCCCACTTGTGTCAACAACAGTGAAATTTAAACAGGCGGACTGTTTTATATTTGTGTCAATGGTAGCACAGAGACCAACTAATTAAGCAGAGATTACATGTAATAAAATGGTGTCACTTCTGAAAAACTGATGTTTTTAGCTTCTGTGACATATTTCCTGGGGTTTGCACTCAAGCTGACATGAAGTAATCATGGAGGTCTCTCTTGTTCATAGCCAAAAAACCCTCTCAGGTAGTTCATGGCAAATGCAGGAAATCTTACCTGGGATTAAAACGGTGTTAACTTTCCAGAGGTGAAAATTCCTTTCACTGAAGGATACTGTTGCTGAGCTATTTCCAGGGAAAAAGCATTGCCTTCTCCTTGCCTGTCCAGGAGACGAACAAAAGGAACAAAAAAAAAAAAAAAAAAAAAAAAAGAGAGAGAGAGAAGGGAAAACAAGAGAGGCAATTGCAGCCTTGTATACTAGCAGCATTTCACTGGCTGTATTCTAGAGAGTAATAAAAGCACTGAAATAGTTCAAGCATCTGCCCTTGGCTGAGGGACTTGTAATTATACACTATGGACTCCACTCCCTTGGAACAACTGTCTTTGATTCCTATCTCTTCTTTTATTACAGCTGAAATGCAAAACTCCTGATGAAACCATTACATTTCCATGTGAAATTCACAACTATAAGGGGAAACCTCTGCAAAGTTGCCAGACATTTGAAGGGGGGCAGAAACATATGGGCAGAGGTTGTTAAATTCCCTTCCAAGTTTCAAAGGTCTGACCGCTTGGGGCAGCCTGCTCTGGAGCTTGGGGTTTATTCTCATCCCTTCAGTAAATACTTTGGAATGAGAGTAAGAAAGTTAATTTTATTTCCTGTTTATTAAGAGTTACCATATTGTGAACTCTGCAGTTCGGCTGATCACTCTCCTTAAAATCACTGGCTTCTTAGTCCCCGCTGAGATTAAAGGAGACATGGCAAAATCTCCCAGGAAGCATTTCTGAACACACAGAGAGTCACTGAGACCTACTGTGCCTTTATTAAGGTTTCCACCCCAACTTGAGGTGACACTCTCCCACTGGTGGAAAAGAGGTAAGGACCTTGTTTGGACCCTCAGAGAGATGACCAGATCTTGCTTTGTCTGCCCAAGTCTTCTCTACAGAAGAAAGAAAGAAGCAGACGTCTGCTCAGCCCCTCTTTTTAGGAGACATCCGTGTCCAGACATCTGCTCTGAAATCCCCAGCAGGGTGCACAGCAGTCCTGGAAAGCAGGTCTCAGTAAGTAAAAGTGCCATTTGGGGCCCTTTAGGACAGGAGGACTTCACTCCTGGCTGATAAAAATGAAGCCTGAGATGGTGCCCTGCCTCTTCTGAGCCCCACCTGAAGCTGGCAGTGCCAGAGTCAGCGTTCACAGTGGAAAGCCACCCCTCCAACCGACACAGGCAAAATGTCCAAGGAGTCTCCCTGACTGTACACACATACTTAATCTTTTCTTGAAAGCAAATTAAGAGCACGCCTTTCTGTGCTTATACAGCCTAAGCCTTCCTCCCCAGGTCGGGAAGCTGCTCAGCAGCCTGAGCTCCCGTCACGCTTATTCCCCTGTTTCACACGTTGCCAAGAGGCAAGAAGGTATTTCCCTACACTGCAACCTTTTATTTTCTGTTCTTTTTACTCTGGCTAATATGTCTTCTTGGTAACCACAGTATAATAAATTTCATAGAGCATGACCGGCATACTTAGTTCATATTATTCATTTGCAGTCATTTATTTTTCCCGGCTCCTCTTCCCCTCCTGGTCCCCTCTCCCCAGTGCTCACTCTGTGGAATGATAATAATACATGCAGAGCGCCAGCCAGCTGAGACAAGCTGAAAAACAACAAGTAAGGGGATCTTTCTGTGCTCACACCTGTTTTAAGATTTGTTATCCACAAAAAGGAAAGCTGTGGGGATTCACTCTCTTTCTTCCTCGTAGACCCCAGTGGAATATACCATTAAACCGCAGGGAGGAGAGAAAGCCTTCAGCGCACTTAAATATACTTATGTCAAATCCATCTCATTCTTCCTGCCTTCTTTCCTCAATCTAGCCACCGTTCCCAAGGGCTGGAGAACATTACAACCCATTCACTTTATATGAATGGGCACAGACAGACTTTTTCACCATTTCGATATGTCTACATTTGCAGGCATATCCTGTAGGCCAACTGAAACAGCCTTAATTTCAATTTACTGTCTCCCTGAGGAACATGCCATTCTCCTGAAAGTGGAAAAAACCCTCAATGGCCATTCCCTACCCACCCCCTCCTCAAGTTCAGATCTGAACAGGAGGGAAAATTTCTCCCAAGATTAATGGACTGCAGTTCTGATGCTTATAACAGGGCACATGATCTTTATTAAACAAGTAATGAACAAGTTTCACCAAAGTACTGCGTTTGGAAGGTGTTCAGCTTTTCTGTACACGACTCATCTAAATCCTTTTCCTAGTCCCTATAGAACAGTGTTATATTAAGAAAAAAAAAAGAAAAAAAAAAAAGAAAAAAAGTACCTCAGTGGACATTTAACCCTGCCTTGTTTTTCAGTGGTGCCAAAAGTAATGACAAAAACAACACTAAAAAAGTAGCTAAGATCTTGACTAACTAACTTCACATCATCTTAGCATCAGTTCTGGAAGGCCTAAAGATAGGATGCTTCCACCTTCCTGAGACAAGTACTGGGGGTTAGCTATTAATGCAGCACATCTTAAACAAAACAGATAACCAGGGCAGATCCAGCAAATAGTGGCACTGTGGAAAAATACCAGTACAACTTGCCAGGTCTTTGTGGTCACAGCTTTGATTTAGAGCAAACCCAGCATGCAGAAATCTGGATTTAGGAGAGGAATATGTATTTCTTTTCAGAAACACTGATGCCATACTGTCATTTCTGCTCTCCTGGTACATGGCACTGCAGTATTTCACTGGGCCTTTGGTAATTGTCTGGAAAAACTGCCAACAGAGAAGTCAGCAAGTAGTGCACTACTCTGCAAGGTTATAGTTAACCATTTATCATCTAATAGCCACAGTACAAACCCAGCAATACCTTCAAGTGCAGTGCTGTAAATACCATGATATTCCAGCAGGCTTCAGAGGAAGGCTGGCACTGACAGGCATGACAACGTATGGCCAAAGAGTGATTTATACTATTACTGAAACAGCTTTAGCTTTGCTGGTGTATTTCTGAATACTTCATGTTTTCTGTGTGTCTCTTCTGGGAGTATAATAGTTCGTGGATTGATGGGTCTTGTCTAAGTTATCCAAGGGGCCTGATGCTGTGTATTTGCCCACAGCAGTATTGTATTTATGGCAGCTCTTTCTGGTCTGCTCATATTTGAGATGTCCAGGCATGGGTGGGCAAAGAAGAGGGATATTCTGGTTAAAAGAAGCCAAAGAGGCTTTGGGCTGGGCTAGAAATGTCATCTGAGCTTCCCACAGACTGGCAAATTATAGTGACAATAGCTGTTCTCTTTTCTGCTGTAGGCAAGCATTTTATTTATTTTAGCTGAACGGCAATTAAAAATAGCAGCAAACTGAGAAGTGGTTAGACTGAACACACAGGAGAATCAGACTCCATGGAGAAAGAAGCTTTGCTTCCCAGAGTTACAAACGGCCTCCCCTTAGTAGATTGCATGTCTTTTCAGATTACCAATGACAAAGTCCAAACTGAAACTTAAGGGCCAGTTGTCAGCTTTATGTGGCCACGGCTAAGCAAGGAAGACAGCAGTCTCAGCAAGTATTTTCTATGAAAATCTCTTGATCTGCATTTTAGGTTGTCCCATTATCAAGTAATGGGAATAGTAAATCTTTCCAGGGAATATCTTGGGGAATTCTTAGATGCAGTCAGATTCAGGATATGGCACAAGGCCATCTCTTAGCCAAATTAATAAATACTTTGCAGCAAGCCATGAAGAGTCTTTGGGGCTATTATTCTAGAGGGTTGTTCTGGTCATTGCTTCTCTGTTAGTGTTACACTATAGCCCCCTTACAATCACAGATGCTTGAATAAAAGAAACATTATGTTGGGACTAATGCTTATGAAATGCTTATTACTTATGAAATATTAGTGGTATTAGTAGGAAGCAATGGGAAGAATATTCCTCTCTGATCTTCTGCTGACTGTACTAATGTCTTAGAACTTTGTTTGTTTGTTTGTTTGTTTGTTTTTTAAGAGAGACACAGTTAAAGACAGACTAAAGCTTGATCTGAGATCCAGCAGAGGCAACTTTGAATGGTGAAGTTGCTCCATCTGGTTTTGCAGGGGACCAGAGACACTTGGAGGCTGCACCTGAGATCTGCATAAGGAACTGCACTCAGTCTTAGGGCCATGTTTGAGGACTTGGATCAGAGCTGCCCTTTGCAGCCTTCTGTCTGAGGAACAAGGCAGCTCCTGCAGAACTGAGAGTATGATGAGTTAACCTGCACCATCAGGCTTTCCAATGGAGTCCAAACTATTTTTTAGTATTAGTTGACCCAGGAGTTACATTAATCGTCTCTTAGCTGAGAGAAGCCTATTTTTCAAACACCCAGGACAAAGCCTGCTAAGCCTCAGTTGGGATGCAGATAGGGAAAGTGCAGATGAACCTGGAGTAGTTGCTGGGCAGTGGCTGACAGGCGAGTTCCTTTATTTTCAGCCAGAGCAGGTAATTTGGAAACCCAATCTGCCAACAGCTGTGAGGTAGTCAGCACAGTTTCTCTGCAAAGGCTGCCCAGGATGGCCTTTCCCTCACTGACAGTTCTCTTTTGTGAAAAACTTAGCCCCAAGATAGTGAAGCAGTTGCCTTTCATAGCCGGGGACTGGCTGATTGCAGGACCCCACAAAAGGGACACCACCGCCCAGAAGTAGTGGATCACGGTGGTGTCACGCAGCCTGTGTGCTCTTCTTCTCCCCAAAAAAGCTGAAGAATAGCTAAAGGTGATAACAATGCAGGCAGCTTGTCCATCTGCATCACTGATTGGGGTTCCTGCCCTGTCCTATGGGGACAGCCCTTCTCTGGGGTGTGAGGACCACAGAATCATGCAATATCCTGAGCTGGAAGAAGCCCATGAGGATCATTGAGTCCAACTCCCAACTTCCCAACTGCACAAAGGGCAACCTAAAAGTTAAACCATATGTCTGAGAGCACTGTCCAAATGTTTCTTGAACACCATCCCTGTGCAACACAGGCTGCAAGCTCAGGGGTGGGAGATGGAGCAGTGCCCCAACTTTCAAGACAGGCTGTCTGTATAACTGGAGGTGAGTCTTATGCTCTCCATGCTCTCCTGCTTCATGTTAGCATATGAAGATAGACAAGATATGGGTTTGTAGGGAGAGGCTACCTCATTAAGGAAGCAAAGTTGCCTACCTTGAAAAACCAAGCGAGCTC